TTTAGTCCGGTGGTATAATTGGTCACCCGAAAACCGTTATGGATTCATCATAGCGAAATTCAAAGCTGTGAGTGTACGTCATCAGCTGATATAAAGATCGACCTAGGGGTTGCAATATGATTCCTAGGAATTCGACCTCGATTTATTCTTGCAGGATGAATTTGGTTGCCCGAAACACGCTTAAAATTGTCGGAATGTACCTGTCAGTCTATTGGCAAACACTAGCTGCTTACCAGTGGTTCAAAGGGAGGTACGTGGTGGCGTCTTTGGCGAAATAACGATATTATTTAGGTCGTAGTTTATAACGTAAAGCGACAAAATCCGTTATGGGTGTGTTCTACTTCTTCTGCAAACACAGACTTCAAGCCCGGAGATTGTAAAGTGGTAAATATCACATCAGCTAGGTTACCTAATTCTGATTAAGCTAATTCTAGCTAACACCAATCCCGCAGACCGATGCAAAAATATTGCAACACAAACCTAAAGAGATCAATAGTTCAAAATAGATACACATTGTAAATGTTATGCTTGTCGGAGACGTTTTATCTCCTCTAGTGTTAAAATCATGAAGCGTTCCACTAACTAAAGTTATTTTGGCCTCAAAATGGGCGCTTTAAGAAACCAGGCTTGACGACACACTGTCCTACTTGAACTACATAATCTGCTTCACTCAGAGGAATAAATGAACAAATGTGCTGGTTTAAGTTAGGTGTCTATCTGATCTTTGTGATCCAGTTCTCCTGGCTACCACTGCGGCCAAAATAACTCATATCCGAACGAGAAAAAGATGATACAACAAACGCACATTGGAAATGCAAAATCACAAGCATTCCCGAGCACAGAAATCGGCAGCTATTCCAAAAAAACTTTGATTAGGGACGCCATACTCGTTGATACGCCATTTCGTAATAGGTGGATTCGTCCAGTCCAGCACCAGTTCTCAAATTAATACCTACTGTCAGTGCACAATAAAGTTTCTACGTCCATTTTAAATGTTTACAATAGGCAGCAGTCTAGCTCTACAGGTTGTTGAATAGATAAAACATACTGTCTTTTAATATGTGCCCTTTAATAACGCCTACTTCAAGTTCTGCGCCGTCTTAAAACGTTCCTAAAGTGGTACCTGAGTGTAGCTGAAATTTCATTGCTGATTATCTTTGGAACTGAATGTCTTGTGTGGTTCAACCTGGTTCAACAATATTTATAATTAGTTCAACTGAATGCCGATGATAGATTCACAAACATTACAAACTCAGGGCGCTGGTCTCGAGAATCCCTTGATAATCACCAGCACGACACTCGACTGACTTGTAGGTTCCCGCGCTAACTTACACTTCCTGTCTTGCCTTATCCGTCCGCGTCTTCTTGTAACCCATATAATACAGTCCGCTGTGTCCGACCGAAATTGCCTCTTTATATCCACGCTTATTTTCACTCACAGTCTCGGTCTAGCATTTACTAGTCCTACAAATTGTGACCTAGATTCGCACGCGCGAAATTAAACTTTCGTTGTTTTTATTTGTTGGAGTGGTTGTTCCTATTTGTATTATATACGTGTATTCATTTCTTCCTTGCGTAATATTTTACCTTTATGGTGTTTTGGTTCATAATTTATCTTTTCGGTTCATATTCTGGAAGTCGCATCTGTCGTTTCGCAGCGTAAACGGGCCTACTTTGCTGTTCCAAGTTTCATGGAACACAGCCCAGAGGTTTGGTTTACGATATTCGAGAGCAAACTGGAAAAAACGGCTTTACGACAGATCTTCTTAATTAAAATCAGCTCGTTCCACGCCTTCGCTCGTCTGTTGTAACGCTGCTTGAGGGCATTCTACTCTGCCCATCGAATGAGGCAAAGTATCTGACGATGAAGCAAGCGAGTCTAAAAGAGTTACAGCCCAGCGTACGAGCTCGATTTCAACTGCCCAATGGTCTCAATCTAGGAGACGACAAGCCGTCGGCGTTGCTCCGCGAAATACAGCATATCGCTGGTCCCTTATCCTTGAGCAAAGGAGGGATAAAGCATCGGTGCTCTGCACATCTGCCAGAGCCATTGCTATTACTGACGCCGGCACGGTTATTGACTTAGCAGCCATGGCCACAGCGTAAATCAATGATCTTATGATTGCTCTTATACGCAGGTATCCCTTATTGGACATAGGACCCGTTCCACTGACATCATCAAACGGAAGTATATTTGCGATTTATCTCTAGGCACACAGAACCCAGTCGTTTCACGTGAGTTTCGGCAGACCCTGTTTGGCACTTCGCATGACTTGTCTCATTCAGGCGTTTATTCATCGGTTAAACTAGTAGCCGCACGGTTGGTTTGGCGCAATGTCAGTTTGGACGTCCATACTTGGGCAGCTGCGTGCCTTCGGTGTCAATGCGCGAAGGTTCACAAACACAGGAGAAGCCCATTAGCCATGTTTCCGACGCCATTCGCTCTCTTTCTTTACGTGCATGTGGACCTCGTAGGTTCTCTACCACCTTCAAATGGCACTGCGTATCTACTGACCTACAGCAATCGATTTATTAGACAGCCTGCGACCATCCCTATCCCAAATCGCTTTTCAAAAAGTTTCGCGAAATCTTTTCTAACACGCTGGGTTGCACACTATGTTTGCCCGGCCATATGGACCTCTGATCGTGGGTCACAAATTTCTTCCACCATTGTTTCTTTCCTTAAGGAGTTAGGGTGCTGCTACGTCCAGACGGCGGCGTATCCTCCGGCCGCTAACGGCATGGTGGAGCGTTTCCACCGCTAGCTCAATGCAGCGCTACGTGCGCACGCAGATCCTGCGTGTCTGAAACACTTCCCCTCATACTCTTGGGCTTAAGAAACACGGTTTATACCGATTGGGACGTAACACCAGCGCAGCTAGTCTACCGTTGTACGCTGAGTTTATCCGGAGCTCTGGTAGCACCAGTCCCGTCGGCATCCTCTTTTGACTACGGAAGTTAAACCGATCCCTTCGCTCAGCATATGTGTGAACTACGTCCACCCGCTCCTGGAGCGCAGGAGACACAAATGTACGTGCCCGAGAAGCTGTCCACATGTTCACAATCCCTTCTTCGCCCAGACGGTGTTTGACAGCCTCTTTAGTCGCCGTACGTAGGATCTTTAAAGTGCTACACAGTGCAAATACAACGTATACTATTGATCATGGTGGCCGACGCGAAGTATTCACTATCGACCGTCTGAAGCGATAATTTATGGAAGAAACCACCTCGCCTACTTCGTCTAGTAGTGCTTCGTGTGACGTCACAACTCACGGCACCAACTTTCAGCATCCTAGCGTAGTTCAACCAGATCACGATCCGGTCTACAAGCGTCAGCCGTTTCGACATCTTCCAAATAGAGCCCGCTGCCTCCAACGACCAATCGCTGAGGTCGGGAGGTGTGTAAGCCCGTTCCCTTTCCAACTATGTACAGTGTAAGTCCATTTAGGTTTGTAGATCTTGTATTTATTCACCCCATTATTGGTCGAATGACATTAAAAAATAAGAACATTAAGACCTCTGAATAACCTGTTATAAATATATGCACACAACCACAAAAGCCGCACACGCAGATCATTCGTTGTTATTTCTGATGTTTTCTGCACATGTTTTTCTATTTTCTCTTATCTACCTATTCAACCCTCCTCTTTGATCGACTGGCCCACATCCGCAATGTTTTCGAGGATGGCGCAGTCAACGAGAATCCTGACACGAACGCTGGTCCTTTCTCCTCGGGATGAGTGCCGCTTCTTCGCGGGACAGGTTTCGCTTTTTCGTGGGAGGATGGTCGTTTCATTGTGGGACGAGGGCGGTTTTGGCGAAGGGTAAGGTGCAGCTGGGAGGGAGACTATTCCAAAGCGCACCGTTTGGCAGCAGCTGAGGCCGAGGTCCTGTCGGCCATTTTCTGGGTGAGCCAGCAATTTTGTAGTGCGACATGCCGGCTCCAATGGCTCGCGGAAATGCACCGTGCCCTGCAAGCAATACATAAAAAATCACAAACAGCACAGCGTACTCCGACTTATGGCGAACCCACATCTGACACGA